CTACCATTATTGGTAGAGAAATAGAGTATGGAATAGTATTTTTTGGAGAATGTGTGGTTGAAATTTAAAGTAATTTTATTGATTTGTGTGTGAAATATTTTATTTAGTGAATATGTGATTGAGATTGTTCACTATAAAAAACAATGTTTGTAAAAATGATAGACAGACATGGGCTTAGAATGTGAATTTACTTACATGATTGTAGTTCATGTCTGTTGCAATGTAGGTTGGAGAATACCTGAAAAAGATAAATGTAATGTAAGTTGAAGGTGTAGGATAATTTAATAGTCCAACCAATCAAATTATGACAGCACATAAATACCCATAGACAGGAAAAGCTTGATGGTGCTGATGANTGTAAGTTGAAGGGGTAGGATAATTTAATAGTCCAACCAATCAAATTATGACAGCTCATTAAAACCCATAGACAGGAAAAGCTTGATGGTTCTGATGATGATGAAACGTGGGAGGTGTAGGTGCTCCAGCTGGATAATACCATTGCACGTGATTCGCAGGTGCTGTTGAAGTAGCCCTTGGTCCAACGTTAACTCCTTCAAATTTATGGAAAAATTATTATTAAAATCTCCATTTAATAATAGGAATTGTGAAAACATAAGATTTCAAGTTACCTTGCTGAGGAGGAGGAGGAGGAGGAGGAGTCGCGGAGGAGGACCTAGGGCGGCGGGCTCCAAGCACTGCCAGATTGCAGTTGGCACGACGGCCGTTGATGATCGGCGTGGCGTCCTCACAGGCTTTTTTAGCCGCCTCGGCATCCTTAAAAGTAACCTGTATATATAACAGAAATAATAATAATAATTAAAAGAATAAGTTATGATCCAATGCTACTCGTATGGATAGACCAGATTTCTACTTACAAAACCATAGCCCTTGGATCTGCCGGTGACCTTATCGGAGATGATAGCAGCCTCCAAAATCTCACCATATTTGTCAAAGTGTTCTTTCATGGCTTCTTTGGGAGTTTCCCATGCTAAACCTCCGACAAACACTTTTGTCAACGTTGTGTCGCCCATTCCATTGTTGTTGCTCATCGTCATTCTCAAAGTGTATGCTTGAATATATTGTATGTATATACCAGAGAGAGAGAGAGAGAGAGAGAGTTCTCTGAAGAACCACCCAAAAACTTCTATATGAGGGATGGCGTGGGAAGGGGGGCGAGAGGGGGTTTGAGAGGAGAGGAGTATAGTGTATATATAAAGCTGAAGAGAGAGAGAGAGGGTGAGTGTGTGTAGGAATATATAATAATGGAGAAAGACAGAGAGGCAGAAGAGCAGACAGTTGGCTAAATTACTCGTCTTCACTAATTTTTAGCAATGACATTCACCAACAATGCTACATGTACATCATCATTTGTCACATGACGGCATATCATTAAACAACTTAAATCTTCAACAATTTTTTCATTCAATCAACACTTGTTATGTCAACCATAATGTCGAAAAACAATGTGCCAAGTGACATTTTCTGATTTTCCCATTTAGCAAACCTCAACTGTGGTCTGACTCTGTTAATTTAGAACAAGTTCGTCCACGAAAGTTAAAAAAGAGCGAGTTGGTATTTAACTTTTTTACTCTAATATCAAAGTCATTTTACAATCAAAGAATCCATCTTAAGTCCCCATTGAAGTTAGATTTGACTGGAATGTAAACTTGAACCTACTCATATTTTTATAAGAATAAGGCCGTGTTTGATATGCCACATTTTTCAAGGAAGTAGGAAAATATTTTCCATTTTCCACTTTTTTGGCTGTTTGATGGGCGAAATTTTCCACGGAAAATATTTTCCGGATTTTCCCCACCCGTGTGCAATTTCCGGGTTTTTTATGAAAATGTTTTCCCGCCTTTTTGGTGGGAAAATATTTTCCCGACTGGCTGGAATTTATTTTTTTGGCAATGAAAACAAATGTCATAACTAATAGTAAAAAAAATTTCACTTTAATGGACAATTTTCATGTAAAACAAAGTCAAACGAATACTAAATTTTGATGAAAAAATGATTTTTTAGGAAACATTTTTTTTTCCCTTTTTTTTTTTAACTTTTTGGCAATGGAAACAAATTTTATAACCAATTGTGGAAAAATATCAATTTAATGGACAATTTCCATGTAAAACAAAGCCAAACAAACACAAAATTTAAAAATTTTTTGGGTGGAAAATTATACCAATCAAACACACTTAATTAACAATTCTTTGGAAAACAATTTTTAGGCAATTACTTTCCCCAAAATT